GTGAAGAAGATCTTAAAGTCCAACTCAGCGGCGGAAATACCATCAAGGCAATTAACACCTGGGCAATTCCAGTCATTAGATACACAGCTGGAATAGTGGACTGGACTCAAGGAGAATTGGAACCCCAGAAAAATAATAATGACCTTATTAAATAGAATGACAATATAACAAATAATGACAATGAATCCAATGAATGCCCTTCATCCATGCAGCTATGTTGACAGACTCTACAAGAAGCATAGGTGGGTGTGGAATGTTACCAGTACACCAGACAGTTGAAGAAGAAAAAAGGGCATTGGAAGAATATCTGAAGGACAGTGAAGAAGATGCACTGAAGCTAGTAAACCATGAAGGCTCACTGAATACTGAAGAGGCCAAACTGGACTATACGAAAGACCAAATGAAGAATAGAAAAGAGACATGGCAAGACAAAGTATTAAATGGCCAGTACACAAACTAGCAGGCAATGACAAAGAACAGGAAAGTTGAAGAAAGAGACAGAGGGACTAATTCTGGCTGCACCAGACCAAGCCTTAAGAACAAATGCATACAAAGCTAGAATTGAGAAGACAACAACAGACAGCAAATGCAGCCTCTGCAAAGAAGCTGAAGAAACAGTGGACCACCTAGTTAAATGCTGAAAGAAGATCACACAGACTGACTACAAACAACAGCATGACAAAGTAGGAACAATGGGTGCACTGGAATATCTGCAAGAAATACCATTTGCCTGCAAGCAAGAGGTGGTGGGACCACAAAACAGACAAAGTAATACAAAATGAAGAAGCTGAAGTGCTCTGGGACTTCAAACAGACAAGCACCTGCCACACAACATCCCAGACTTAACAACTGTTAATAAGAAAGACAAAAAAGTCTGAGTAGTGGACATTGCAATACCTGGAGACAGCAGAACAGAAGAGAAAGAACTGGAGAAAATCACAAAATACAAAGAACTGCAACTAGAAATAGAATGACTGTGGCAAAAGAAAGCAAAGATAGCACCAATAGTAACAGGCATCTTGGGCGCAATCCCAAAACATCTGGAGTACCACATGAACACCATTGGTATTGACAAAATCACCATCAATCAATTGCAAAAGGTAGCTTTACTTGGAACAGCTTACATCCTGCCACAATACCTTTAACATCATCAAACAACATCTGCCTATCCCAGGTCCTTGGGAGGGACTTGATAGGTGGATAAAGATGCCAATTTCAGTCTAAACATCTGGCTAATTGTGCAACCAACAATAATAATATTGGCATGGAGGGAGAACTTTCACATCCCCCAGAATCGGACAGAGAGCTATAGAAAAGCCTGATGTGAGCAACCTAGCCCTTTCTCATTCACATTCCCTAATCATTGGTACTGAGACATTTGCAGTCTGTTGCTGTCTTCTCAGTTCTGGCTTTGTATGCATTTGTTCTTAAAGCTTGGGCTTTGCAGTTCTTCCAATTATACTTCTGTGAATACTTTATTTCATATTATAAATCGACATTGATCTGCTAGCCTCTGTTCTGTTATTTCTGATTCTGGATGTTGTTCTTTCTAGAACTGGTGCATTCTTTTCAGATATCCTCTTCCCACTGGACTTGATTTGTAATAGCAGATCATTATTTCTTTGTTTTCAGTCTTTGTATATTTGCGACAGGTAAACAACTTTTCTTTCACAGATCATTATTTCTTTGTTTTCAGTCTTTGTATATTTGCGACAGGTAAACAACTTTTCTTTCACAGATCATTATTTCTTTGTTTTCAGTCTTTGTATATTTGCGACAGGTAAACAACTTTTCTTTCAGTAGTCCTGCAGCGGCTGCCCCTGGTTGCTCAGCCAACAGTCCTGAGTCCTGTAGCCCACATGCCACCAGATGACCAGGAACTAGAACAGTCCTTGTTGACCCGGGTGACAACCGATCCAGTATAGGTTTCTGTAAATTACGTCTCACCATGTTGTTTATGGGAGAAACACTCTTCATCTGGCTTCTCTGATGAGACTTGTGCAGTATGGTTGAACCTCTGGAATAGCTCTTATCCTCCTTGGAGCACGCAAGCCCTACAACCACGTCAAGGTCGTGTCTCACTGGATGAATAATAATAAAATTGGCATGGAGGGAGAATATTCACATACACCAAAATCAGACAGAGACCTATAGAAAAGCCTGAAGCAGGATGTGAGCACTGTAGTCTTCTCTCATTCACGTTCCCTAATCATTGGTACTGAGGGACCAAGCACCTCCAGCACTGGAGCTCCCTGCACTAACATTGTGAGTAGGAGCCACTGATAGTCACATTCTCCTGAACATTTTTAATCCTGTTGAAGGTAAGCGATCATGCATACAGTTGTGCTAGGGAAGAGAGTGCTTGCAGATGTTCTTCACATGCTTTCTCCTTGCTTCAAAAGCTAGCAGATCCTAGTGGAGTGGATTTGGAAATAGGGATGTGGCAGCTTAAATATTTGAGGACCACATGTAGTCTGTAGGCTACCCTTGTGTAGATCATCAGATGCAGAAAGGAAGTCAATCTGTTCTTTTTTCACAATTCTGAGTCTTGCTTTGTAGATACTTAAACAAAAAAAAATCATATATCCATTTGAAATGAAAGGGGCCTTGTAACTATATAAAGTTAATTCCAGGTCTTTGCTTCCCTCAGATCCTGAAGAATGGCATCCTGTACCTGTGTAAACCTTTGGATTTTACAGCATTTGGTTTCTTATTAAAATTTGCAAGGGGAACTCTGCAACTTTCAAATTAAGAATTCTCTGAATGTTATATTTATTTATTTTATTTATTTATTTTCAAATTTGTATGCTGCCCATCTCCCCCAATGGGTGACTCTGGGTGGCTCACAATAATAAAAAAGAAAAAACACAGGACTCTCCAGACATAGACATAATCTATAAATAGTTAAAAAACATATATAAAAATGGCCTAAAAACCTCCTATAATATGGACC